AAGTTGCCTCTTGAAAGTGTTTTCTACAATCAGTCAGAATGAAGGAAGGCAATAAGGAGCAATTTGTGGGTTGAGTGTCAAGTCATAGAAAATTCTCTCAATAGGGTGAGAAGATGTCTACCAAATGATGACATGATCTATTCAGGGGGCTTGGCAGCTCACTTTAGATCTTTGAGCTGCATTGGTGTACACAGTGAAATGCATGAGCAACAGCATGGCAGGGTGTAAACTTTGCAAATCCAGTCTCAAAATAACAACAAACTATCTAACGTTACAGTGATGGAAGGGAAGAAGGGGGATGGTAAAGGAGGTTTGAGGCACTTGTCAATAAGGACTGTACCACAGAAGATTCCAGCCAGCTCGGCCCCTTTATTGAGAAAAAACAGCTGGAGCACCAGCATGAAGCCAGGCTGTACTCCATTGCAGACGTGATCGCTTTCACAACATTATTTCAATACTTTAAAGAAAGTCCAACCTAAATACTAATATACTGTCGATACTTTTTGGGATCTCGAGAACAATGTCAGTGCTTCACTTTGCAGTCAGAAAGCCTCATTGTTTGTCGCTGTTCGGTGGATGCAACAGTCATCTTCCTCCACCTGCAGCTTGCCGATGAACCCCATATCCCTTTAAGGCAGGGCAGGGCAGCTCCAGTCAGTTGACACCTCTGACACTTTCTGCTTTGTGATGACTGCCACATCACTTTTTAACCAGACAGTGGTTACATGACTTCATAACCTTGTGCTGTTGTCATCTGAGAATCCTTGCTGTGATTTTATAACTGAATACAAAAGGGCGTCACCCTTCCATTACTGTTTGAATGACCCTATTTACTCATGCACTGCACTCTTGATAATGTCTTGACATTGTCCAAGAGGGGCTGCATGTGTGACCACAAAATGCACAACTTGACACAGACTTTAGTTGCCAGCCTCCTAGAAAAGAGTTGTGTGAGTTGAGGTGAACTGATATTTCAGCACAGCTGGTAATAGTCTGGAACATTCACAGTGGTGATGTTTTTCATGTTGAGCAGAGTTTTACTGCTGAATACTCTTTACTGTTGGCCTCAGTTGTCAGTACTTAGTTTTCTACTGTTTGTCTGAATCGCAGCAGAAACATCCTCAAAGCCTTTTTCACACATGCACTCCTGAAAATATCTAGAGAATATCAGGAGGACTGCTGCAGAGATTCTCCTGACCTGGCTGTTCACACAAGCTCCTCACAGCTGGAGACTATCCCTGTCAGACAGGAGGGGGGGGGGCGCAGTGGGTCTCCTGAGGTCATGATGTGGAAAAAAAAACATGCGGCAGTAGCGGCCGAAGAAATATGCAATATACAATGCTGTGTGTAGTCCAAAGAATCACATTACCAAAGGGGCGGAGAACAACGTACTGACGTAATGCAGCCTTTTAATTAAGTGCGCAGAGATCGTAGCGGTCTTGCACATACAGTCTATGCACGGTGCAGCAGTAACAGGATATGAACGTCACTCCCCACCATTTGCTCGAGGTGAATTCTGCGGATAATTTCCTGCAGCGTTCTCACTTCAGCTCACTCGGACTTACTGCAGACAAAATACTAGGGGTCTGGCCGGAGAAACTCTGGGTGAAGTCCGAGTGAATAGTGAGATTTGCACAGGAACTGAACTCAATCCTTAACCAAAAATGTTAAAATCAATAAAATAAAACCTAAAGTAAAACACCTAATCCAAAAGAAAATAATATTTCAAGTCCTGAGAGGGCAATCAACCCACTAAAACACCCGCTGTGAGGTACGTATGAGAAAGGCAACTCCTGGAACATTTCAGAACATGAGTGTCCTAAAATAATCTGGAAAATATCCGAAGTAGAAGAGTAGAAATTAGAGGTTTAAATCATAACGCAGTGATTTAAAATGCACTATGACTACGGTGATGATGAATCTCGACAGGCGTCTCTGGTTCTGAATCAGTTTTACTCACGAGGAGGATTACGGGCTTTTGTTTTTCATTCCAGTAAATTGATTCACTTTTTTGTGTAAACGATTTTTAAAAGATTTAATAACGACACTGACTGTGACTCCTCTTTTTAATACTGCGCCTTTGTTTGTAGACAACTGCTGAGTTCACATGTTAATAAGGTCAAATTGAACCGCTGAGTTAGTGTTGATTGTTGATATCAATTTTCTCCACCTGACCTCTCCTGTGTTTTGTAAAGTAATTAAAGCCCTGTAACAATATTCTTTGTGTTCCACTATGAGTGTCATTATGTGGGATTAAGAAGAACCTGTCACTGCAGGTTGGACCAGCTACTGTTTTGAATCAGGGTTTATCAGGGAGGTGTTTACCTGCTTTGTTAAACAGGTGACAAAGAGAAGAGGATGAGAATGTAGCTGTACCTAAAATCCACCATGAAATGAATCCAAAGTCTGTCTTAATCACATTTAAATAACCAAGACCTGTCAGGCCAGAATAATACATAGTTAGTCATACAGTCTAATGGGAAGCATTTTGATGAAGCACAAGTGAAAGGACTTCTAAGGATTCTTGCAGAAGCTTCCTTACCGACTGCATGCATCAGTAAATTCATATTGCACTCATCATTAGAGATACAAATCATCCTGAGGTTAAACTGGTTTTTAGGTGCGCAGTGGCTGCTTTGTACAAAGTTGCATGCATGAGATGAAGCATTTAGTTTTAAAACAAAATATCTGTTTTGTTGTGGAGGAGTGCAGCCACGTAGTGTTTTGTATTTGATTAATACTTCAGTTATATTCCTGTTTAACCAGTTCATATTCTGTTTAGTCGGTCAAATAAAAAAATAAAAAAACTTCACTTTGCTTTCCCAGAGCAAAGTGTGACTGACCTGACTTAAATTTTACAGCAGATTAGTGTTGTGAGGTATTACCTAATATGTGACAAGAGTTTATAAGCAGGAGCTGTCTGCTGTCTTAAGGTGATTGCCTCAAGTGATGTCATGTGAGTCTGCATAGTTTGATGTTAAAGGCATGAAATACATTTTGGTGGTTGAGTAAGAATGAAATCAACTTAACAGCCCACTTCACTATTTAGTATTTTGAGGCTACATTAGCTGCTAAGAAAAGTGTTAATCAGTAGTCCATCAGTCTCCATACTCCATAGTGGAGTACATTTTGATTTTACACACACTTTCACGATCAACACACAAATTACAGCAGCGAATTCAGCAGAGAAGCTGGAAAGAAGGGGATTTTGAGTTGTTTTTTTTATTTAAAGAAAATAAAATACAACTACTGCATGTACATGTGATGTTTGAGTTTAGGTAGATCCAAATATTCTGCAGGAAGGTTGAAAAGAGATCCAGAGAGAGTCGTGTTGAACTCTCGTTGACCTTTTACTTTTTGAACAGTAACATAGATACTGTATGGCCCCCAGATCTTACAGTCCTAAAGCTATGAGAGCCTCAGATTAAACTTGATGGGCGAACAGTAAATAAAGAGTTGTAAGGGTCTCCTCAGCTTGTAGATCAACACCAACATCAGTTCAAAGATGGGATCTGTGAGTGTTTGGTGTCTGTTTGCTCTCAGTCTTCTGAGGTTTCATCACACTGATGAATGATATTTCCCCAGGGCAATTTCATTAAACCTTCAGTATTTACTCTAAAATGACTAAAAAAAAGGCTAAAAGGAGAAGAAAGAATAAAATGAACCCTCCGAAGATTACCTCTAAGCCATGTAAACATGAGATTGCTCTAACATTAAATATTTGCCCAGAGGACAGATTGGTGTCTTTGCTGTTTTTAATATCTTTATGTTGTTTTTTTTAATGGTCCATGGAGGTGCAAGGAATCTAGCTTTCTTTATCTGTGCACACAATTACTGTAGTAAGAAACACTCAAATTGTGCAGTAGTCTTGATACACGGGTCGTGATGTTCAGCGTGTGAAGTGTTCTAGTTTCTGTTTGTAGTTCAAGCTGTATTGACCAGTTACGTATCAGCAGGCTTTGCTGTATACAGGTGAAACGGTCCTTGAGAAAACAAAACAGGCTGAATGTTATCCGCACTAATGACATACTAACTCCCATCAACGGTATTCTTTTGACGTTTTATTTGTCCCTGTAAACGGATATCTTTATAGAAGTGAAACCTACAATCCTTTGAAGATCTAATATTTCAACTTGAGTCAAAAATCTGCTTAATGCTGTGTGGTGAAAGCCAATCAGTGTTTAGCACCAGGCCTTGAGCCGGAGATCCTCTGGTTCCCAACCCAAGCCCCTACAGACTGAGCTACTGCCACTCCAGTCATGTGCCAAACATGGATTAAGTTGCTGCTCAACTCTAACATGTACCATTTTGAAATAGATCGATATTTGTTGACATTTTAAGAGTCTACTGGTCAGAGAAAGTAAGCCCTGTGTGCTATTTAAATTTGAAGATTGGACTCTGAATTTCTTGATTATGCCACCAGTATTAGATTTATTTCCAACATACAGTCACAGAACGACAGGATGAATTACCAGACCTGAACGACTCTTCTTTAGCAAGGACTTTTTTAAAGGTTGAACCAGTTTGAGGTGGATACGATGATTGTCCTAGAACAAGCTTGTTAAGGTACAAAGTCTTTTAATGACAAGAAATGCTCTTACATTTCCATTGTGATCAAACTGGCGATATCCAGTTAGGTATAGGTCATGGCGTTTTTTTATGTTCTTGTCAAGTTGTGTCTCTTCAAGACACACATTGAAGAGGATAGTTATTCAATTTTCACATATTCATGAGAATTTCCCAACTTTTTATTTGAGAATGAAAATGGATGAATTTGAACGCCTTGAGTTGTAGCTTTTCTAGATTTGTCCAGAGGCAAATATGTGTGCCTTTATTTGTGTAATATTCACAGTGAAAACAAAACTTAAAGAAAGCAGTAAGTGATCTTTGACCTCTGGTGACAACATAAACTGTGACAACATGAACTGTGACATCAAGCGTTTTTTCACAACAATGAATTCAGTATAAAGTGACACTTTATTATTTGTGCTTGTGTGTAGGAGAGAGGGGGACGGGGTGCGGGTCTTCTGGGACCGACTGAGAGAGCCCTCCTTCACCTCCAGGTGGAACCCCTTCACCACAGACTTCCCCTTCATCACCTTCACCTATCACCCTGTGAGGAACATCAGTGACACATTTACTGATCTCTGTGATGTAAGTTCATCAATCAACGACACCAGTAATGCATTGTTTAAAGGATCAGTTCACCCTAATCACACCAAAAAAAATATTTCCTTTCTCTCCTCACAACTTGTTCATTTTACTTCATTAACAGTTTTGATTATTTAATATTTCTTCCTCAACCATTATGAGGGTGAAAAAGGGTCTTAGCAGAGAACAGCCAGCAGCTACATGAAGAGTCTGGTTTTGATTCATGTCAGTGAACCTGTAACCTGGTGATTATCTCCCTCAGGTCAGCAGCCATTATACCAAACTAACCACACCTGTGGGTGCGTCGTCTCCTGCTGTACACACACTCTTCCTCTTTCTAGCGACTGGGAAGTAAAGGCCAACTTCACCCATGGAGTGACAATAAATGGTTACAGGCTCACCTTCATTCATTAAACCATGATTACATATATAAACATTCGTTTTTAAACGTCTGACCTAACAACAGACTGAATGCACTAAAGTTTAAAACTTTGTTTTAATTCATCAGAATCAGAATCAGAATCAGAATCGGGTTTTATTGCCAAGTACATTTACACATACAAGGAATTTGACTTGGTGTATTGGTGCTAAACAATTAACAAGGAAATAAAGCAGAACTAGCAACAACTTAAATAATACAGTATAAGAAGATATTACAATATACAAGATAGAATTTAAAAATGTAAAATATTAAAAAAAAACCACAAAAGGCGAAATGTAGGAGCTGTGCAGTGGATTATGGGAAAAAATCTAACAGAGTATTTAACCTACTCACTGAGTGCATGTAAAGAAAATAAATGTAAAGTCCAGTGGGCGTTAATGTAACACATAAAGAAGAGTTTCAGCATTCATCATTCATTGGCGATGAATTGCAAGACAATCTTGATGATACATCACAATATAGAATTTACCTAAAAGTTAAAATGCATAGTTAATGTTTTCTTCACTGCAGTTTAGTGTCAGTTTGCCTCTTATCATGTTTTCCGCTGTCCGGTATTATCCCGCTGTCTTCTTCTTTTTTTCCAGCTGTCTTGTCCTTCTTTGGCTGAATAACATCCTTCTGAGTATGTGATTGTTTTAATGTCACTCTTATATCACACAACACTGACATGTTTACCTGCTGACAACCAGGACAAAACCATGAACACTTGTCATATCCATTTTTGCTTATTTTATAATTTAGTAATATTTGCTTCATTTTCTGACTTTTTCCCCCACTTGTTTTTGAGAGCTGATTTTTTTGCAGTGTAACACAAACCTCACCATGTTAACAAGGGAACAGCTGCAGGAGTCTTTTCTAATCAGAGTGAAGTGATCTTTAACTTGTCAGAATGTAACTGATGAAATAAGTGATTTGATTGGATTGTTTAATGACTAATCCAGGTGGAGGTGTGTACTGTAGGAATCATAGAGACACTCAACGTGTGGTCAGATGAGTCACCACACTGTGAAGATTTCCTGGAATCATGCCTCAGATAATGCGATGTGTAATCTGTCAGTCTGACACTTCATGAGACTCTTCTGACTGCTTCACAGTTATCAGTTATTATTATTAATAATAAATATCAGCACCCACACTGCTTTTTATATTTTTGGTTTGGACTTTTTTGTGAATTGTGAAATAGGTTTCTGACTAGAATATGGCATCTTTGCAAAACGACTTTCGACATAACCGAGAAGTTCAGAAGCAAACGGATGACTCAGCATGAGGAGGAGAAAAGAATCAAACTGTTATGTACTTTGTTATTTCAGCAGTGGCACACATTTTGAAATATTTAAAACATGTCACACATGCTATGTGTATAAATCTCCACTTTTCTATTACTGCACACAAACATTGACTGACACCTGATACCTCAAACATGTGCAAAGAGCTGGAAAACATTAACTAAGAATGTAAAGTAATTATGACGTGATACTGTCAGTGTGCAAAAACAATCCTTATTTAAGACTTCCTTAAGACTTTATAATGAGGAAAGCAGATGGGTAACTTGTGTTAAAGCTTTAAATTATGGTCTAAAGTGTCGACCATCAACCTGATAAGCTGACAACTCAGGTAACAGCACATGCTGCAGAATCCTCTATTTGTCAACGGGACAAATATTGTGAAATGTTCTCCTTAAACAGAGATATCTGAAGGTGAATTAAGATGTAATGTCTTCATCAGATTTAGAAAGAAAGTGCAGAAAAAGCCTGGAGAAAACTCTTCAAAGCTCCAGCCCGGGACTCAAATGTAAAATTTATTTTACATAATTTTATGAAGAGAATTTGTGCTCACCTGTATGGCTCTTACCTCAAATATGTCTTTTGTTGTTTTACACATGGAAAAAAAAAATTAGGGTAAGAATCATGTGATAACTCGAATGGCAGAATTTCTCACCGCGACTTAACCCAAAATTTTTCCTGCCAGTCACCTAATAATATTTCAGTGTGAAGTCTAAATGAGCATGATATGTGAACACAGCAGGAATATAAAGTGATTGTTTTGGCAAAATTATGTCTACCACCCACCTATACACTGCATTCAAAATGAAACAATCGAGCTGAAATTAATAGAATAGAATCGAATATATATTTATTGTCATTGCTATAAAAACTACGAAAAACAGTTTAGCAGCTCATGTCATTTGCAGCACACACAGATGGACGGTAATTTGGACTTCACAATCAGTCATGTAAATCAAAAATGAAGTTTAAATCAGTCCTGATGTCGCACAGTGTACGTCTGGCTACACGGTGTGGTGATGTTTACTTTCCTGAACAGTTTATTTAGAGTTATGACAGCACGTCTCCTTTGAGGAACATGTTTGACATTTTCAGACCTGAATGTCCCGACTAGTCTATAAAATGTCAGGGGGCTCACATGTGAAAGTGGATGATATCAACCAGGGAATGACACAGTAGAGCAGTAAATGGGAATATATATTCCTGATGGGTTTCTGATCCTCCCACCTTGACGTTCACAGATCCAGAAGTTTCGGGAGCAGCTCAGAGACGCAGCGCAGGAAGTCCACGCCGTGAAGCCCGTTCCGGGGAAAGCTAACGGTGTCCTGGTTCTGAATCAGAACATCCTCATCGACGCTTACGTCGGCGTCATGTCTTTCCTCGGGAACCAGAACAAGCTGGGATACTGCATGGCTCGGGGAAACATTGGCTTCTAGCTCCTGTGCATTTTTTATCCGAGTTTTGTTGCGTCTTGAATTCATGTTCGTTTGTTTACAGAGTTTATTCAGATTCTACAAGGATTGACCAAAAGAATTCTCCTGATTTAGGTTTGTGTCACATGGCAGCCTGGATTCTCGAGGGTGTTCTGTGTGAGCTTTAAACAAGCGTGTGATCTCCCTCGCTGCTTATTACCAGTGTGTGGTGTCTGAGCACTCAGAAATATCCACATTTCAACACCGCTCTTCACTGGATGACGGATCCCCCGCTGCTCTCAAGGAGCTTTGTATTTGCTCCTCAGTGATATGGTAATTCAACTCTTTCGCAATGGGACTCCTTTCTTCCTCCCCCGTTCCTCTGTTAAAAGCTCATTCCCATGCCGTTCAGCCCCTTAGAGATTCACTGGAGCATGGGGGCACATTTGTCAGTTTAGTTTTATCATTGCTCGTGTATTTTTACAGTGCTTACAGTGTTGGAATTTCCCCTGGATTTGTGTGTTTACTGCGTGTCACTCTGCTTTGGTATCATCTGTTTGTCTTGTGAGGCTGTCACACACGAGAAACTAAACCCTCACATATTTGCTTCTCTTTTTTTTTCCTTTTTAGCTGCATGAAATATGCAGATTATTCATGCAGATTCCTATGCACTGTTTCTCCTTTTGTGCGCTTTCTCCCTCAGTTTTAATCCTCTGACTTGATAAAAAAATATGAAGCAGAAGTGCAGTTACTGAAAGATGAATCAAGGGGTCAAGATTTAATCTGAACCATAGCAAGGGTCAGGACGGTTATTTTTTTAAACGTTAATGACTAAAGTGGGGGAAAAAAATGTAAAGGAAGAATGTGCAAGTTTTTGATCCAGTAGCTGATGCTTGAGCGCCAGCATTCAAACAAAACACACTGCTGTTTGGCTGCACCTCCGCCATACTGATTCCCTCCGCTTCTCGGCACACCTCCAACCGCTCTTCGCTTACGGTCACACCGAGGAGTTATCAAATGGAACACACCATAATTAAGCACCATTAAGCTCAAGTGGCAGACAAAATTGTCCTTGGCTCGAGCTGCAATTTCCTTTGGCCTGCATTTGTTGTGTTAGCAGGCTAATGTTAGCACGTTTAGTTAGCTTGTAGCTTCCCTCAGAATGGCCGAGATCTAAAAGCGCTTACGTGACATCTTGAATAAGCAGTGAGTATCTTCTTCTTCTCTCTAGTTCTTGACTAAAACAGCTTTTACACACAAGGGGAGGAGTCAGCCGTTCTGTCCATGTAAACACAGCACCAATAACAACACAGCCGGCTTCTCACTCTTCAAAGATTCTTACCTGACAGAAAACATCCTCTGTATTGAAGGCCCAGCTCAGACTGTCCTCCTATACCCTGCACCTCAACAACTTGTAAATACCGGCTGAGGCAATGAAGAGCACAGTCATTTTGACTGAAACTTTAACTGAGGATGCTCCACTTGTTTTTAGCTAGCAGCTACATCCAGTTGCCTTCCACATGGAGCTACAATCACATTACTCTGCCCTCACACGCACGCACTAAACTCCAGAAAGTGTCTCCAAAATTTTAAGATGATTTCATAAATACATTTTCACCCCCACTTTACCCACTTTAACCTGCCAGCTCCCCAGTTATATTTCCACAAGAAGCTGTAGAGAGAACAATGTGTGAACGCAGCATAGAGCTGGACGCTGTTATTTTGTCCTTTGTTCTGTAAATGTTGTAAACACTAATCACTTCCTCTGTATTTTTTTACTTCATGACTTGCTACCTGAAACATTTGTCAGATATGTTCTATAATTTGTCAGATATGAATGTGTGAACGGGACTTTATTCGACCTTCTTCTAGCTTCAATTCTAACAAGATCTTCTCACGTTCAGCTGCAGTTATAATATGTACTGATCTGCACAACCCTGTTTGACCTTATAATGCCTTTTATAATAATAATTTTTATTTATGTAAGACCTTTAAAACAGATGTTTACAAAGTGCTCTGACACAAAGCAAAGGCAGGAACTCAGGAATATAACATATTAAACATCAATAGTCAGGCCGGACAGAGACAAGTCTACAAAACTCAAACAAAAGTGAATACATGATGTGAAAGCAAGAGATCTAAAAGAATAAATGCATATGGATAAAAAAAATATATAGATAACAGTTCTGAAAAGGTCGATATCAAGTAAAGGAAATACAATTAAAAGAGTGAATAAAAGAATAAAAGCATTAAAATGACACCTGGAATAATGGTTATAATTAGATTAAAGATAACAAAAGAGGATTAAAAGAAGAAGAGAAGACGGCAAAAGCAAGGTCACCTTAAGTCTTGAGCCTCGTCCTTAGAACGACCAGAAGGGCCCCACCCCGAGGATCTAATGGGGGCGCAGGCGGATACAAATCCGGGCCTCTGGCTTGAGGACTATAGCGTCTGCACATGGAGCGCTTGCACTAACCACTAAGCTACCAGCACCCCAAATCCATTTTTTAAGGATTCATAACTATAATGTTGTTATTGTTAGTGTAACTTTTAACCAAAGAATGCAACATTGAGGTGGAAGGAGGAAAAAACGAACATATGGAAAATTAAAAAAGTAACAGTTGGTGTCATGCAGTAACCGTCTTCTTGAATCACTCTTGAAGGGTTTGTTTGTTTGTTTGTTTGTTTGTTTGATTGATTGGGGCAGAGCATGCAAATAGAAAATAACAGGGTGTAAACATTCTTCAGTGAGAGAGACTGCTCATTTAGATCTGAAGGCCCCCGGCAGGTTGCAACAAACAGGAATATAACAATCACAATAGACTGATTCAAAGATACAATAGAGTTATGTTGTGAAGTTACACATCTTCTCCTGGGTGACAAACACAAGTGACTGCAGTCAAACTAAGCCACAGTTTTCAGTCACTTCTCAGGTTTGTTTCTGTTCAGGAAACGAGGTCAAGTGTCCCAGCAGTACTTGCAGCTGTTATTCCACAAGGTAACGTATATGTTTAAGTTCAGCACCTTTAGTATCGTGTGTCATAACCTTAGGGTCTGAAGGGGTTAACATGTTTCCTCCTTAAAGTGAGGACGTGTCTCTAATCCTGGATCAAGCTCTGCCTGTGTGCCTGGAGCGATCATCCATATTTTAGCTCTGCAGGTCGTAAAAAGATGTTCAGAAAACAGAATTAGCTGCCAGATAAATGAGCGTCCATCAAGTTATCAGTCAGGAGGAGCTTTGCTTCACGGTCTTGAGATTTTCTATTTGCAAAATATCAAACGTTGTGTGTTTATCTTGTTTTAGTTTCTGTGGTTCACTTGTGTATCTGTTATCGTTTTCTTTCTCCTTCACACGACTTCACCTGAGCTGCAGGTGAAGCAGGTTCCCAAAACACAGAGCTGTAGCATGACAGTGAAGTTCTTTATAAAGAGTGTCATGTTGCAAAGTGTTGAAATAATGAAGGACTTGTTTGTGATCATGTTGTTTTTGTGCTTGAGTGATGAAGTTGACATGTTTGAAATGGACTCTGAACTGTCCTCTTGTTTTCTGTGGACACTTTTCATGAGAAGTTAATAGCATCACTTCACATGTAAATGTGTTGTGACTTGCTCTTAATGCACAGATAAAAAGTTTAAAACAAAGGCCAGTGAAGGTGCAGGAGTGCGTGCAGGAGAGCAGAAGCAGTGTGGGTGTGTTGTTGTGTACACCCCAGCTCTGTCCTCAGACGCTCTTTTTGCAGCATTACAGATCATTATGTTCAGCCCTGGAGGTGCTTCATCTGAATTGGAGCTCTAATTTGCTCTGAACGTTGCACGTACAGTCTGTACCGTTCAAGATTCCCTTTAGAGACGGCACTGACACACGGGCACAAAATGTTAGAGCAGTTATTATGCACACTTATTAGAAATAATTGAGGGATTTGTGGAGGAGCAGTTTCTTGATCTGAGAATCTTTCTGCAGATAATTGTTGGATGTCCACAATGGTCACTTACAGTTTCTAACTCTGTAGATTTTCATCATTAACCAGGTTAATAATAAAGAGTTGTTAAGGACCTAAAGAAGGGGACAATATATTTACAAATTTAATTAACACTGATAATCATCTTCCCTCAGACCTTAAGATGTCTCAACATTTGTCGAGCACCTTCTAACTCCCTGCTGTGTTAAATCTGAGTTTATTACAAAGAAGGCTTCCTTAATCACAAAATGCATTCTCTACCTGATGAAGTACTCGGATACATCGGCTCTGCCAGAGTTCAGAGCAGTTTCCGTTGTAGACACCTCATTGGCTGGTGTTTTTGTCGACTTAACAAGCTCTTCACCACATTGCAGCGGTATTTAAAGACCATTACTATAAACTACAAAGCTTTGATAACCTTGTATATTTACAACGCAAACCTTTCATTAAGATACACCCAGCAAATACAGGAAATATGCACGCAACATTTCCAGACCAAATGGCTTCTACAGGCAAAGGTGAGTGTTAAGCGATTTCCCTTTGCACCCCCTTTGCAGTTCTTCTTTAGATGTAGGTTGCCTTGATTTATTTCTCTGCCCAGGTGACGTCACTCTTCCTCCTGTAATATTCAGCTCTGACTGTCGATGTTTTACCTCCAAATATGATTTCACTGTATTATCAATGTGTCATACTGGAAAATACATCCATTCAATCTAGTACTTTTTAGAAGGAATACATTATGAATGTTTGCATCCTAATATTATGAGTTTATCTGCCTCCTCTCAAAGTAAGCTGACATATCTTTAGATCCGGTCATTCGTTGTAAGCACAAAAAAAGTTCACATTCTTTGTAAAAAAAAAAAAAAAACTAAGGCTGTCAGCCATAATCATTTAATCATGATGCAATTAAGGTCTGAAGTTAATGCATTGTTTTCCATCCCATTAATCATGAGCTATTTTGTTCCATTAAGGACACCGTATAGCTGAGCCACTGCAGCGTCTCCTGTTAGTCACAGTGATGGAAAACAATGACCCCGCTGCGCCTTTGAATGGCTCATTTCACTTAAAAGAACTCCCAGACGGCTGGATAACAAGTCATTAGTAATACCCACCTTGTGGACTCATTTTTACACTTCCTGTTAGCAGGTTTTCGTTTACATTTTTGATCCATAAAGAATTCCTTTCCCTGTTGTTAAGTTAATGTAACCTTCCATCTACCCGGGTTACTTATTTTATTTCAAAATAAAATCTGACTTGTAAACAGGAAGTCCCCTTAGCTTAAGACAGTACTGAAGTTCAAAATAAAGGTTTCACAAAACTATTTTGAAATGCAAAAGAATGGAATTTCAAATATGAAATAAAAATGCCATAAATTATATTATATATTTTATTTTGACAGCCCTAAAACAAACACTTTTACAAACTAAAGAAGTTGAAGGTTCAATCTATAAAGGTTTACTTCTGGTTGATTTGGTAACTTTACTGTAATTTTAACATCAATGAATGTTAACTTTGATATTTAACTTGTGTACCAGCAAGAGATTCAGCCTTTGTCCACTTAAAGATGAGCCAAACACATGCTTTTTAAAAATATTGTCACCTAAACTACAACCAAGAAATAGTTTGATCAGTTTGACAATCTGTTCTTTACTTGAACAAACATCAGCATACATATCATCCTAGTGTTTTGTCTCTGTGTTTTACTTCTATTCATGGGAAGTGCTATGCCTTATCCTAAAGTGAATCAGAAGAAACAAAACAAACAGACGGTATGGAAAGAAGTTGTTAAGGTGAGCTTCATAGTGTTGAGTCGTCGGTGCCAATAAGAGAGCCGCTAACCCTAACCCTAACCCATTATTCTTTAATCTTTACCAAAACAAAATACATCTAACATTTGAATTTAAAAGGCGGAAAGGCTTAGACTGAGAGCTGTATGACCACTAGAGCAAATCAACTCCATCAGAACATTACAGATTTTATTCTGCAGTAAAAATAAAAAAAAGTGAAAGCATTCTAAAATGTGTTTATTGTAAGGCACAAAGTAGACACATTCTTGCCAAAAACTTTAATGAAATAAATGATGATTAAGGCATGTCACATTTAACATCTAAATCATCTAAATCTGAGTGCTGACACTATTTTTTCATCTCTCTCAGTTCTCCTCTCACAGCTCAGTACAGTCAGTGTGAACCACAGCTTTGTCAGAGAGAAGCACATGGACTCTGAAGATAAATGACTTTCAAAGCTAATGATTGCATTCCTTTCTCTAAAGGTAAGTTAGCGCCTCCGGCTAGATAATATGGCTTCACTTCACTCCAATTATTTTCCACCAGCAGAACATCAAACTGATCAACTGGCAGTTTGCGGCGGTGGACTGACACCACTCTGCACATGTGACAGAGAAAACCAGCCGGAGTAAAAGGCTTAAAAACCTGCAGCAACAAAAAGGTCCTCGATGAGTTTCCCTTACTTTTTTTCAACTTTATATGTAATCAGACAGAGTTAAATGTTTTTACACTCATCATGAAGAAAACTTCCAGAGCGATCCATAGTTTGAGCTTTTTTTTTTATAGTATATTTTTAAAAAAAAGTACATTTCATGTTTTTCTAATCAAAAGAGAGAGCAAAAGATAAACATGCAAACAGATTTGAACAAAAGAAGAGTCTCCCAGGAAAATGACAATCTTCTTCCAAAATGTAGATGATAGTTCTAACATAAAGATTTTACTTTTGATAATCCTACCTGTCTTCTACCTGTCTAGGGTGACTCGCTTTTTTATTGCCTTAGAGTAGAGTGACCATACGTCCTGATTTGACTAGGACTGTCCTGAGTCCCCATAACTATCTATAAAACACTCAAATGTCCCAGTTTTAAACAGTTCATGTCCCGATTTTAACCAACCCAAACTATACACCATGCTTGCAACACTAATTGGTCTGTATTTATGTTAATCATGTTGTTGCAGAGGCAGCTTCTGTTTTAACTAATAAGAAAACATCACTAATGCAAGACAAGTCAAAGTTTAATATCGACCAAGCGATGTGCAGCCACATTTAGCACAGGTGTGTGGATGTTTGCCTGCAAGGAGAACTGAAGGCTTGTGTTGTTAGCAATCCTCATGTTAGCCACGCTCAGAAAAGCTATTTAACATTGTTTACAGACGGCCAAATTCAACCAACAATGCACTGCATTTCGGTTCACTTTCCTTGTTTGGTACGGATTGGTTCTCACCTACAACTATCCAAACTCTGGTGCACTGGACGCAAACTGAGACCTCAGTTTTTAAGCGGACCAGAGTTCTGACAAAGTGCACCAGAGATGGCCAAATGGCTCGGGTGTAAATGCACCCTTAGAGGCCCCTTGGTATTCAAATAAAATATTCAGCTTTTGTAGATAAATGTGAGATATCAACTAAAAGTTGGTCCTAAGTCAAAGTAATATTTGTCCAAAATACAATTTGTGCTGCACAAAAAGAGTGTACTTTGATTTCCACCAGCATCTGGAGAAATCTGAGTTAGTGAGACTTCTCAACAGGTGTAACAGACTGCAACACCTTTTAAGACTCTTCCATTCAAACACTTGAATTAGGTTGAGTTTGTTATTGTCCATTCAGATTCACAATATTCCTTCAGGGGCTCCCCAGAAAGTCTTTGATTAGTTTGCTTTTCTAATTTTACCTCCTGAAATCCTTGATAACCTTGAAACTACTTCATGAGCAGAGTCCACGCTTTAAACACTTACATTTACTTTCAGTGGGTTTTTTATCCAAACCCGCTTAATTCTAATAATTTCTAATATTGAACTGTTTAAGTAGTGGTGTATCTTAGGAATCTAAAAACATCACAATCGTTAAACCTTCAATCTTAGAACACGTCCATGTCCATCTTCCGTCTTGTTCAGCAAGAGTTGCTCTCAGGATCCCTAAAGGTGTGTGGGTGCTGTAAAATCGCCTACTTCTCTGGTAAAAAAAAACCCCAGACCATTCAGAACCAGAATCAAGGTCATACTCAGACTTTGGGTTTGGTGACTCGACTACAACTCGTACTACTCATACTTCTAGTGTTTTTGATGTGTGAATATGTTTAATGCACTGTGGTCAAAGAAAGAGTTAGATGAGAAGCGCTGATCAAGTGTTAAGTCTTGATTTAAAAAACACAAGATGAGCTATAAACTGTATGAAAACTGTAAAAAGTATGATAGTTAATTTGAGGCCTGTTGAAAACCGCGTAGAACAAGTTTCCTGTTTGAGGTCAAGGTCACAGAAACTCCAATCGGAAGTCTCCTACATGTCCCACTCGACAGGTCCAAGTGCTTATTTTGCCTGATTGTGATGTGAGATGATTTTGCCCCGCAGTGGAATGTGATCGGGAAAGTGAGAGGCTTAATAACTGCCCATCAGCGCCTGTGACCCCGCACGGCCCCGGCTAACAACCAGAGCTGCCTGGGATGCTCGGGGCGAGTAACATAAGACAAATTCTGCGAGACACTCTTGCAATCCTGGTGTGGCACGCAGTCTTCTCGTCTCACTGAAATACCTTCAAAGCCCTCGTAGATATGCCAGCTCGGATACCAGCTTCTTTTCACAGGTCATGCAACCTCCAGTCGCCATTTTCATTTCTCTGACACGTGTGTTGCTTGTTTGTTTGGTAAACATGTTACACCTGTCAGAGGCATGCTGGTTGCTAACGGGCCAAGTCCAACAACATTTATTCTATTCTGCGGACGCTTTCCCCTTCTTCTCGCCTCTCTGCTTTTTCCATCTGTTGCCCTTGCAGCAGTGAATACAGTAAGTGTGAAGCAGTGAACGTGTGAGGAAACGTGTGCATGTGTGTGTGTGTGTGTGTGTGTGTGCTGTGTGTGCTGTGTGTGGATGTGTTAGCACGCACAAACACAGGCTACTGGGTTGTTGTCTGGATTGCTGTCTTGTAATGGAGATAGAGACACTGTTTTATTTATCCCTCCCCCAGCTGTCACTGTTGTGTCTGGAGCGAGTTCGCTGAACTCTGGGCGATGGGACACTTGGAGAACTGTCAAATCCACTAACCCTCCAAACCATGCAGAATGTTACAGCCCAGAACACACCCTGATTTCTTAGTATGGAAAACAACAGGGACATTCAAGAAATGTGCAACCTTTATCTGACTCCTCGCCTTCATATTTATGTGTACAGTAAAAGCAAAACAGCAACAACAACAACAGTTTGTATGTAAGGACAATTAATCAAGGTACTTCTCACCAAAGGACTTTTTTAAAACTCAAATAACGTGAACCCAGGGAAAGTGGATGTATTTCAAATGTTTGAAAATGTGAGAGTTCATACTGTAACATACTTTTGAGTGTTTTTGAACAGACTCAAGTAACCATGTCTCTTTATAAACTTAGGCAATGTACAATATCACCTGAGAAGTTTATTTGTTTATTCTTACTTTAAATATCACCTTGACCACCAAGATGGGTTTCAACAAAGCAATTACCAGCAAATTATCAGCTTTCTGATCGAAAGAGTGTTCGTTTTCATATTCCTCTGCAAAGTTTTGCATTGGTAGGCAGTTGTTCTACATAACCCATACATTATTATAGCCATTGTTTGCATTTTGTAAATTGTCCCTGTCTTAAGCTCATGTTATGTTCTTTTTTATTTCCTTCTTTAATCAAATATCTTTAAGTAGAAAATTACACTCAGAGTGTAATACGGCATACTAGGTCCAGAGTGCTTTAATGTAATGCATAATATTTTTGCATTTACTATACAGTGGCAGCTGAACAGAATCGGAAAAGGCTACTCGTTAGGCCAGAGGAAAACATTAGCACATGTCCCAAAATCTGAGAGTAATCCAAGAGTAGAGAGTAGAGGTCCGACACTGACTCTACTTATTCAACACAGATGCTTTTAGACATTTTGCTAAGACACAAATTAGATTGTGTAATATGATAACATTAGGCCTTAAAACTGCTGCAGGGGAGTATGTGAGGCCTCGTTTGCAAATTGCGCTTGTGTTAGACCCAAGAGGATGGTTAAAGATGGCTGGTGTTAATAATTGATTTAAAAGGATGAACAGTAGCTTAATCAACATTTGAAGCTCCGACAGAGGAAGTGTCAGCTAATGTTACTGTCTAAATGACTTATTAAAGTGTACACAAGTAAATATTCCTTGGTTTTCAGGCTCTGTCTACTACTATAACTTAAATCAAGCTGTAACCACAGAGCGCAGTCTGATTAGAAAGTGTGAAAGTTTGCTGCCAGTCCAAACACGCTGCTTGTGTAACTAATGAGAATCACCACACTGGCATGCATTCAACATTAGACAGAACTGTTCACTGCCTCGATGGTGATTACTCAGGCTGCCATATTCCCCATGTCAGACTGTAAATGAGAGTGAATCTGTGTTTTCATGTCACTCACCCAGCTCCTTGTGTTCAGATGCTGCCATCAGACGCTGGGCAGACGGTCAGCGGTCGAGAGACTAAGCACTGATGACAAGCTGCTGGAAATGCTGCAGCCATGAGAGTGTGCAGACACACATACACACACATATACTGAGAGCACATTCGTTTTGAAATCCTCTTACACATACACATCATAGCTGTCTGCAATCTGACGCCCATGATGATATTTCATTGCTACGGGGAAAACACCTGATTGATTTATGTGCAAATTAGGATTTACAAAGTAAGACAATAACTTAAATCAACCATGAATTCCATTTACTTAGGTTTAAGGTTTACTATTAAACAGTCTATCTCAGTGCCAAAATACTGTCTTCTGAGCGTTAAGACATGCTGCAAAATACATACAGTATATGAAATATATGTCATTTTAATGTCAGTGCTATAAAGGCTGCAATAGTTGTATCAGTGATTAAACCTGTGACCTCTCTGATGAGTTTATGTTCTGTACTTTCTGCATTAAACTCTGTGAGATATTTTTGCCAGATAATACTTCTTAAGGTTTTTATACAGCACCTTTATTAAAATACACTTTGACAAAGGAAGCAATAGCAGCTTACTGACAGCAATGCATCAAAAAACCCAAAGAAAAAAAATAAAGAGAAAAAGTCTGCAGAGTCTGGAACTTGCCCGTTGATATTTATTAAGTTTGCTAAGTTTTCATTTTTTATCTTGAGCTCAGAAATATTTTTGCTGTTTGATTGCTGTGCTTTAGAAAGATACCCGAGTACAAATTTGAGCTTTTTGTTCTTTTTTGAACACTTGATAATAATACTCAACTTTTCAAAGGAAGTGATGTACAGTATTTATAATTCCTCTAAATCTGTGCCACAAGTGTTCCAATATCTGACGTTCAAAACAAATAGAAATACTGTAAAACGTGACCTGTAAGAGTACGTGTTTACATAAGCTCCACTACTACAACAGTAAAGAGGTACTTCATGCTAATGCATAATCAATTATAACCCAATAACTTATGAAAGACAGAGACCATTTTGATGACAATTTGTTTTTTTTAATTCAACTCTTTATTCATTTTTGAACATGTTGAAGCTATGCAGCATGTCTTGTTGCAGAAACAATACAGGACACATTTAGCATAATATACAGCCTCTGTCATTAAAAATATACAATCATTCACATTATCATTCGATTGTAATGATAGTCTGAAATGTAGCCAGATGACCCCATGTTGCCCTCCCCCCCAGTGTTCATTCCTCCTAACATCTGTTCATATGATGAAATCTTAATCAAGTCATCAGTCCATACCTCCGCAGTGAGACACCCAGTGTTCTGCCAGTTGTGCAAGGAGTCTTACAGCTGTATTTAATACAACTTTTAAAATAACGTATTTGTCAAGATATGTTGGTATTGTCCTGTCACCAAGGAGACAAAGCTGTGGATGTGTGGTTAGAGTGACACAACACACAAGATTACTTCCCATTAGCTTCAAACCCTTACACCAGAACAGATGTACCATTGGGTTTTTTTAAACATTTGGATTCTGAAAATTTAAATTTAAAGAATAGAGTGTACCATATTTTTAAATTTGTAAGGCACATTTTGTTCAGTCAGTGTATCATATAAAAACGCTCACAAACAACAAACCATGCCAAACCATGGTCCAAAAGCACAAAAACATACCACACATGAGCCATAAGTCAAAATAGTGTTATTAACCTCTAAGAATGTTAATCACACTGTTCTGAGCGGTGGCCATTTCTGCCTCAAGGGCCTGTTTCCTCAGCGAGTGGAGCAGTTTATGAGTGAGGTTAAGATGTCACTGTGAGCTCTGGTTAAAGACAGCGCTCCTCTAACTGTCCCCCAGCCTGACCTCCAGCACAAGAGGGAGGAATGTGATGGCTTGACGCTAAGTGAGCACCCCTGCTCTCCCTTCTCTCTGACCCCCTCCGCCCAGCAATGCGGCCCCCGGGGCTTCTTGTGTCAGCCACTGTGTCCCCAGCAACCTCCCAACAGTTTTAAAATATGTCCTTGATATGGCTGGCATGTCGTACGCACATGTCCCTGTGGTGGGAGATAAATTTAAGAGCAAGGAGATGTCAGGCCGGCGACAGCTGTGGGCTACAGTTTCACCAGATGCTGCACCGTTGCTAACCTTCACTAGACGTGAGCTGGCTGCCACCCTGGACGTACTTTACATGCACAGTAAATATTTTCTCAACATGAAGCTCGTACAAGGCGCAAACCAGTATTCGTTTGTCACGGCTCGTATGGCCGCAGCCTTCAGGGGTCTGATTTATAAGATCAGGAGGCACGTACCGATGAGATGCAGCCTTGAAGAGAACCACAGCTGGAGCTGTGACAGACAGGGAAGGAGAAAAATGAGACTATGTCTGCATGCTCCCACTGCTCATTGGATGATCCAGGTTATTGAGTAGGCTACCTACTGTAGAATTTATATAACTCATGGATGTATCCTGGTGGTATCACCCATTGGTTTGTAAAAACCAGTTTGAAGCCACCTTGACCATCGTCAGAAGTGACCCACCTAGAGTTGACAAAAACAAATGATCTGCTAATGACTTGTAACAGTAACATTGATGTCAAATGTGAAGCCCAAACATGAGTCATATCTGCTGATATTATTGGGTCAAAAATCCCAAACATTGGTACAGCTCACAAGTTTTCTGATTTGTGCCAGTTTGGATAATCTTTTAAAAAAGAACCTAAGATGCAGAAAACAATCTGTAATCATATGTAGACTTGATGTCAACATGTAATTTGTCCGGCAGTGGTAACTCCAACACCATAGTTTACAATCCTCTCAGCACTATCAGCACATGTAGCCTCACAGCTGTGGTCGGCACCAAAAAAGGTGACATTGTTAAATACATACAAGCAGCCTTTTCAGTGCAAATACAAAAAAGTATAAAAAACTATCTTCATTTCAGCTGACAAAGCTGATCCATTCAGGATCTAAGGAATTGAAATTTTGAAAAACAAGCTTTAAACGATGAGGCGCTAATGGCCTAGCCGTTAGGTCCAAGGTAGAGAGGTCATTGCCCTCCAAGCAGGCAGCCAGGGTTTAAGTTTGACCTGCGGCTTTTATCCCACTTGTCATTCTCCACTCTCTCTCCTCGATGTCATGATCCACATCTACTGTTGTCTCAATAAAGGCAAAAAAGCCCCCCCAAAAAACTCAATCTGTTAAAAACCTTTGCCCCTACTGAAGACATAACAGTCAATTCTTCAGCATGTCTACAAGTACACAAAACATTGTTATTCTAAGCTTTACCATAATTTTCTAAATAACTGCTGTGTATTGCACCTGTGTAACTTCTGTTTTGATAAGAAATGATTCAGACAATACGATTGTTAGGAAACTGTTTTATAAGGTAATAAACTTAGTAAGAAGTGGGCTCATTACTCTAAGTTTTCTATACAACTGGTCTTCTTATTGCAACCTTTGGAGTTGCCCTCTGGTGGCCATTAGAAAGAGTGCAGCTTGGCTTTACTTTTGGGTCACGGAGGCCACAGCCACTTCTTACAAACAGTCTGTTGATCCTCTTTAAAAGGGTTTTATTTTGAGCCTGCTGGTGTCACTATGACTCCTTTCTTTCTATTGGTGAGACAGCGCTGACGGGGTGAAGTCCATGTGTAGGGACAGTTTACATTCCAGCACTGATGCCATGAGACACAAGGTGTTTCCTGCTGTGTTGCAGTGCACACAATCCTGACTCGGGCGCAGAGTGCTGATTGGTCACAGACGTTCCCTGGTCACTTCAACATGATCTGAACTGAGCCTGAAAAGACATCGGCTACATTTCTGCGCTTCCTGGCATCGCTGAAATCTATTCAAGCCTTTTCAAAATTGTTTTGATAAGTGGGATAGTGCAGTGTTTTGAATGGCCTCGCATGGTGAAAGATAAGCCTCTTTTCTTTGTGAGATGACTCCCAGTGACTAATACTGACAGAGGGAGAAGAGGT